CACACACACACACACACACACACACACACACACACACACACACACACACACACACACACATGCGCACGCACACGAGCATGTATACACATCAAGGCCGCTTTTTTTTTTGGGTGCATCAGCGATCAGAGCACCGCACATATGCGCCGCAAGTACGGCTAGGACAGATCAATAAAGGGTTCAGCGCTCCAGTTTCAAAAGTATTTCAGGCGGCGAGCAGTTGAGAGGAGCCTAGCTTTTCTAAGTATCTACGGAAGTTCTGAACTAGCTTCAAGAGCAGTATAGCACTAATAGGTAATCAAACAGCAAGAGCAATGGTAGCTTTAGGCTAACTTAGGCAGGGGTGAGGGGAGGTACTGAGGGTGCCGATTCGGGGCCGTGCGTGTGCGGCGGGGCCTGAAGCCCTAAGGAAAGGATCAGTAATCTATTGTGAAGGCGCCCATGGAACCCGTGGGAAGATGGCCCATGCGTGTGACCCTGTTAAGTAGCGGTGGTGGGTCATGTGCCGTTGGAAATGAGTGTGCGTGGATTGCTGTGTCCATGTGGTGTTGTGTGCGGTGTGTGTGTGTGTCGGCCTGCAGGGGTGGGGTGGATATGGCGACCAGTATGATTCCACTTTTGAACACCGCGTCGGGGTTCTAGTGGTCAAGAGACTTGGTTCTTCTGGCTGAGGATGCCGGTCCGAGGCCGTGCATTCGTGGCGGGGCCTAAAGCCCTAAAGCACGGATCAGTTATCAACTGGACGGAATCAATGCCGTCCCTCGGGTCTCCCAACCATTATGGGGAGAAGCGTTTTCGAGTGTGTTGTAATCTGTATTTCTGACTTGCCGGTGGAATAGGAACTGGACTGACGCTCCCCAGAATGGACAAGGAGCCAGAGCCATACGGCTCTGTTTTGTTTAAAAAAAAAGAGAAGTTTCGCCTGTCAAAAACATTCTGGCACAAACGCAGCACAGTTGCCTGCCACTTGCGCACCAAACCCCAATCACTATCCGGTAGTCCAGGGGTTGGCAAATTAAGCAGGAACTAAGACTTGGAGAACTGGTCGTTTAATAGGAAGGCAGTGCCCCACCCAGCTCGTCAGAGGTGTATGTAAAATCTTATTGCTTCAAGGTAAGTAATATTATGAATGTGATGCGCGATGACAGGGAAGCTGTCACGTGTAGCTCTTTAAGAGCAGTACCAGTGCATTTCACTGAACCCTGACCAAGCGTAAAGCCTTGAACAGAATTGAACCTGTGATCATTCTCGTGATGGAGATTCTCTCATCTTAGCCTGTCACCCAATTTGTGGTGAGAGGCACTAAAGATGATTGGTTAACCAGCACTAGAAGCTACAAAAGGAACAGGAAAAATGCACCGAAGAAAAAGGTGATGCACAACCAAGCCGAATTCATCTCAAACTAGATAAACTACTTCCGCATCCTGGCACAACTGCAACATTGCCTGGCGCTTGCTTCTTCTCTGCCCCAGATTCTCTTTGAGTGCTTCCATGCACGTGTAGACTCAATCAGCCAATCTGGAAAGCGGATTTTGGAGATGCCAACGGTCCTGAAGACTTTGTAGCCCCTAATTGCAGCCTATACCTGAAGAAACGCAGTAATGACCTCTACTTAGATCCACAAACTGATATGCATATAAGGGAAGCACGTGGGGGATCACACAGAGAGGAAATATGGGCTGGACGTGAATGCACCCTAAAATTGAATGCAAAGTTGCAAACACATTCAGAGTCGCACTTCTATAGGCTGCTGCAGCACCCTCAGCTATTGTCGATCTGACAGCCTGACACAGGACATCGGG